CAATTGGCCCATAGCTAAAATAGGGGGAGTAATTATTTTCGTGTATTTGTTTGAAGTCCCTGTCCTACTGAGGGGTCAAAGTTTGTAAATGTAGCAAAATGTGCAGACACGTCAGGGTTCGTTCAGGGTCACAAACGTTTGCCAGATGTCCCCCAACAGTTTAGTGGTTTGATAGTGGTATGGTAGTGTATAAACTACTGCCTCCATGAGTAACTTCACTTTAATTGTCTTTGTGAGCTATTGCGGGGTTTTTCCCCACCCTGGGCTTTACTTTGCGTCATTGATTGGTTTTCGTGTAGTTGATGAATTAAAGTCAACAAATTTCAAGTCCGCTTTGAGTCCAGCATTGTCATTAGCAACCCAATTCAATTCACACTCTTTTCTGAACAGGTGAGTAACCCCGTAGAAACATGATCGATTGACTGGCCCAGGAGACTCTGCATATCAAAAGACCTCAACTCATGATGGCCTGTATACATGCATCATGTGTACAGGGAATCAGGAACAAGAAAAAAAAAAAAGACCGATATGGAGCAATAGACAAAAAGCGAGTGGGTGCCTGCCAGTTGACAGAGGCTGATAAGAGTCTCAGATGAGGTCCCGGATTGTAGTCAGCCGCAGACGCTATATTTACCACTCTTGTCTGAACCTATGCATGCCACCGCCGTGACGATGGTGCAGTTGCCGCGTTACGTCTGCAAGTGCGAGATTGGTGCACCAGGTGTGAAATTGAGATGAAATATTGATTTGGAATACTTTCCCTTAAGCGGGGGAAATGGTACGGAGAACTGAGAAGGGATTTATGCTTCAGTTTACTCCGTCAGGCAGCAGATGTTTGGTTTAATTGTTTGTAATTCATCCAATTTTAAGGGAACTTAACGTCTGGATCGAAGAAGGAATCACTTGCAATTTCTTTTTTTACTTTTTGCTCATTCAGGCTGTCATTTTATAAGTTAACGTCTTTATACTGAGCTTCAAAATGTTCTTTGCATAAATGAATATTAAGAGTGGAAATGCTTATTAAAGTGAATCATACTTTTGATTTTAAAAATGGATTCCAGTTTCCTCTGGACTTTTGGTCTTACTACTTGCAATCACTGGAATTAAATCATATTTCTGGGATTTCTGTAAATCTTTGAAAGTGTTTTCATTTTCAAATGATCACTTCTATGACATTCCTAGGAAATCACAATGTTCCATCACTGTTGAGCTATTGTTCGAACAGCCCCAGAGGCTACTCACATGGTCGTTTGGGACATCCCGGGGCCCGGGTATGCAGGAGAGAAACTCACATTCACTCTTATGGGTAATTTAGGGTTTTTCATTATACCGAACATACATGTTTTGGGGAATGTAGGAGGAAACCAGCAATAAGGAAACTCCACACAGAAAGGCCGCAACTGGGATTTGAGCCCAGAATCTCAGAACTGTAAGACAAGCATCGTTTTTGTGTGTGTGTGAAAAGTCTTTTTAATAATTATTTTACTATGCACCTCGATTTCCATTCATTTAATTTAACTTGCACGAGTTCTGCTGGTGAGCGACTATGACTCTGACTGAAAACAAATAAGTGTTGCCCTCTACTGGCAACTCTTTTGTCTCTCCCAATTGTTGTGCTGCTCTCAATTGACTCGTTCAAGGCTGACCCACAGAAATCATGTTGTCGCACTGCATCAAGTGGCTCAGCTGCATAATAGCCCCATCATAACAGATGTCACACCCAAGCGTTCAAACCTCTGTAACCCTATGATTTCCAAGGTGAGATCACATTTTTTTTAACTTTATTTCCTTCAACAAGTAGCGAAGCCTTCAGATGACTTGGCTATTGGCTATTGGCTGGCTATTGTGTGACAAGGAGGCAGCCAACTGTGAGTTTTTTTTTTAAGTGTATTCTGGAATAATTCGACATTCAGGCGTGACTGACTGACTGACTGACTGACTGAC